AGGTTCTGAGTTTGATCCCCAGTACCAAAATAAAAAGTATTTTTGGTTCTGCAATCCATTTGTGCTTTTTCATTTTGTCCCCTGCCTCTCACGGAACTTGGGCTGAGACATTACATTCTGTTTCAGGGATTGAGACCCCAATCAGAGGAATATAGGGTCCCTTTTAGTTCACAGACAGCCTGGACAGATGGTCACTACCTCTGTGCCAAGGTAAACTGTGAGTCACCAACATTCCAGGAGAGTCTGGATGGCTCGGGCAGCGCCTTCCTGGGGTTTCCGTGGTCACAGCCCTGCCAGCCCAGCCCCACTCACACCTTTCTACTCCTGCTCCTGCTCACCCCTGAGGATTTTGGTCAGAGAATAAAAGACTCAGGGGATTTTTTCAGTTGTTTTAAGCTATGCAAAACATAAAATGTATAATCTTAGCCATTTTGTATGTTGTTCTTTTAATGTAGATTGTTAACTAATAATTTAAAATGTTTGCATCTATGTTCATGAATAACTTTGGTCTATAATTTTCTCTCATTGTGCAACTTGTCAAATTCTATTATCACTTCTGTGCTCGCTTTTTTCCCCACATTTTTATTGGTGTAAAAGCCATATAACATAAAATTTGGTATCTTAACCATTTTTAAGGATACACTTGTAGTGGCATGAGGGACATTCACATTGTCCTGCAACACATCTCTGGAACACGTTCATCTTGCAACACGGAAACTTGGTTCCCACTGAACAGCTCCCCTTCCCTCCTCCCTGCAGTCCCTGGCAGTCCCTCTGTTTTCTATCTCCTTTATTGAGCTGGCTACCTCATATAAAGGGACCCACGCAGCATTTGTCTTGCTCTGCCTGGCTTATTTCATTCAGCACAGTGTCCTTACAGATCATCCACGCAGCAGCATGTGTCACAGTGTCCTTCCTTGCTAAGGCTGTATGTATACACCACATGCTGCCAATTCATTTGTCCATCATCAGACTTAGGGTTGCTTCTACCTCTTGGTTATCAGAACTGTGCTGCTACAAACATAGATGTACAAATATCTCTCCAAGATTATGCTTCAATCTACAGGAAGTACACAACTTGGTGGCATTACACACATTCATTGGTGTGCATGGACACAGAGGACTGAAATTAACCATGAGTCCGAATTCCACCAAGAAGAGAGCTGTCCCAGTATCCAGGGCTGCATAGGAAAGTGTAGGGTATTCCTGAGGATCTCCCAAGGGAAACTTCCTCTCCAGCTAGTCTGGGAGAGTTTGGCAACCAACAGTGTCCCAGGATGGCATCCATTCCCAGGCTCTGCTCAGGACCTTAAGTGGCCCAATTCACAGCATCTTAGATGCAGACGGCATCTAAGGCTGTGTGCTGGGCCTGTGTGCTCGCCCCATGCAGGCCCTGTTATGTCCCCAGCTCTAGAAGCTGAATGGCCGACCTGGGGGTCCTGGGAGAAGTCGGCCTCTCTCCTGCCCCTCTCCCCGCACCCCGCCCCTTGTGGTCCTCCCCTGTCCCCGGGGCGCTAAAGTTTCCGGGCTTCCTCAGGGGTTCGGGAAAGCGCCTCTGGGTTTATCAGAGTTCATCAGACCGTCTAACAGCAGGCGCCGGGCTGCCAGCATCGCCTCGACTTGAATTTCAACCCGTTTTCTCTGCTTAACACCTCCCTGGCCCTCCTGTCCGCCCCAACATAATAAGCTCCATTCTTTCCCGGCAAGCTGGGCAGCGTTAGCAGCCTGGGACCTACCATGTGGGGACAGGAATTGGCTCTATTTAACCTGCTGGGGTTTCCCTCCCTTTCTTACCAGCGCATTCAGCTGTAATCCTAGCAGGCCCCGCCAATCAGCGGCGCCAAGGCGTTTGCTTCTGGGAGGGAGGATCCTAACCCAGCCGGGAGCTGATAACTGGCACTGACTGTGTGGTCACCAGCGGGTCACTGAGTGTGATGCCCACCGTGACGCTCTGAGCCACAGAGAATAGGCTGGCCTCCCCTGCCCTCACAGGGAGGTCTTGGGAACCGCATTGGCCTAAATGTTAAAGTAATCGAAGAGTTGTAGGAGAAAGGAGGCGAAAACCAAAAACAATCCTTGATATTGTGTCTAGAATTAGAATCTATTTCCTAAGAAGGACAGACAGTAGGGAGTAAACTGGGCAATGAGGGTCATTCAAGGACCCATGCTGGATGCATTAGGCTTAAATCACAACACAAGGTCTGATTGTGCAGTTTGGCTTCCTCAGAACATGGCAGCTAAGGGCCTGCTGCCCTCAGCGTTAGAGACAGCATGGCTAATGTCCTACTCCTGGAGTTTAGCTTTTCTCTTTTCTTTCTTTTTCTAAAGGAGAGTGCCCTCGATTTCCTCAGACACTTCAAGTGTCTAGAGCGAAAAAGACATTAAGCATCACATGGCAATCTGCCCAAGTCCCTGCTGGCTTTTGGAGCTCCTGTTCCCTAATGTCCAATAAGCTGCTACTTACTTCTTCCATTGCCCCTGTTGCTTTTCTCCAGACTCCAGGACCAAGGTACCAGGAGTATGAACATTGGGCATGAGCAAGCAGATCAGACAGAGGGATTGGACCATAGCCACCTCCCAGACAAGGGATGAGAAGACAGAGGAAGGAAAAGGGGTGGGAAGTGCACCCACCTTGCCTGGGAAACCAACTCAGGGCTGTTCCTGCAGATCTTCAGGAACTGTCAACCTTTCTTGTGTATGGCAGCTCCCAATTTGATTTCATGTTGTTCACCTGAGTGAGTTTTGGTGGCCAAGGATGTGCAAAGGAGATTGGAATATTTTTTGGAAGGATTTTACCTCTTGGATCACAGTATTCTTGCAGCACCCTCCCACTCTCCCTTCTCTGCAGCCATTAGGGATACTCTCATTTGCCTGTGGCTCATCTCAAGTGTATGTTCACCTTTTTCCTTTCTTACTCCCTGCAAAATTCCTCCTGAGAACTTGCTTATCTCCTCTGCAGAAACTAGGGCAGGTCCCCCAGCACAGCAGCAGTGTGTCTGACAGAAAGAAAGGAAGTTCCTGCCTTCTACCTCCTCAGCCTCATGCTTCCCGCCAGGTGCAGCCCAAGTGGCTCATTAATCATGTCAATAGCTGCATTGTCTAGGCTTCTCCCAAGAAGACAAGTGACATTTAAAAGCCACTCGATATGCATATGAGTTCTGGAGCTCTCTATTTCTGTGCATCTAACCCCCAGCTGCCTCTCCACATCCCCACCCAGCTTCCCAAAGTTTCCCCATGCTTCCATCTCACTTCTGCCAAGATGTTTCCTAGAATATCCTTTCCAAGGAAAAGAGAGGAAGATAGACTAGGAGCAGCAGCCCAATGGGCTGCAGACCTCCTGGAGTCTCAACCACAGGGCCAGCAGAGCGGCCTGGCTGCCAGGACTAGGCATGTCTGGTGAGGAGTCCCGCAATACTTCCCATTCTAGCCAGATTTCTTTCCAAGAAAAGCTTTGTTCAACAGAAACACTTGGAAGATGGTGGCTGTACTTTCTGCCGATGCCCCATCATGTCCACCCATCAGAACTCCCACCCACTGCCCACCTTAGCTAGTGGCAAAAGCAGCACAACAGTCAGCCCAATGGATTCCACTTCTCGGGAAGTGGCAGTGCTGGAATCAGTGCCTTTGGGGCAAAGCCAACACCTGCTGCCATCCTCCCTTGTCTTCTCAGGGCCTGTGATGCATTTGGTGGATACTGCATCAGCCTGATCTCAGGGTCTAGCAGCCTGTGGCAACCACAGTGGAAGTTGCTCCTGATTGGTCAGAAGTATCCCAGAGTCCTGCAAAGAGGAAGGACATTGGTTCCAGGTCAGCCTGAACCCTGGATTTGCTCCGTGGTAAGGGCAAGTGATGCAATCTCCCTGAAGTTTGATTTCCTCTTCCTCTATATAATTTATTTCCCTTTTATTTATAGTGTTTTTCAAAGAATAATCATCACATAAAATGCTTCCAGACATTTTCCCCCTTCAAATCTGATCTGTTATAGTTAAAAACAATCTCTACCTTTTTTGTGTGGTGCTAGGGATTGAATCAAATGTCTTCATATTGAGCTATATTTCCAACACTGTTGGTTTGTTTTTTGTTTGCTTGGAGACAGGCTCTCACTAAATCACCAAGTTGCCCAGGCTGGGCTCAAACTTGTGATGCTCTTACCTCAGCGTGCCTGGGTGCTGAGATTACAAACATGTGCCACCATGCCCAACTTAATTTCTACTTTATAAACTACCACATTAAATTCCCCTTTTAAGCTTCTGCTTTCCCAAATCTCTGTAAGGCAGATTGCTGTCCATGTCTTATTCTGACTAATTACATAAAACATTATCTCCAGGGCTGGTTGGGATACTTAGTGTTATATACTTTTTTTGTTTTTGGTACCCGGGATAGAACTCGGGTCCTTGCACTTGTGAGGCTGGCGGTGGAACCACTGAGCTAAATCCCCAGCCCTTAGTGTTATATACTTAGTGCTCACTAATATCACTCTTGAATGCTGGAAAAAGCAAATATTCTCTGCTGGGAAAATCACATGAATAATTTAGGGTGTTATAGTCAAAGTACAAGGTTTTATCCTATGTTTTCAGCATCACAAGTTCCAAAGTGTGTTACTTTAGCTTTCCAGACAGGCAGACAAAAAAGATTGAAAGGATAAGCAGTTATCATCAAGTTCTACAACTTGTAGTTTCTAGAATATTCTCAGGCTCAGCCTTCTTCAAAGACAAATGCACTTGTTTCTTGAGCTGAGTCTTAAACTGATTTTGCCTTTCCATGAAAAGGTTTGTTTCTTCTCTAACTTCCCAGAATAGAAGCCAGACTTGTGTGAATTGAATTGTGTGACTTTCTACTCTCTTTTAACATTCATATAGTGTATATTAACTTCATGGCTGAAAGGTGATAGAAATGCAAGGCCAACTTTCAGCTGGAAGTTTAACAAGATAGATGGGGAGTATATACCATTCACACCTTCACATACATAAAAGAAGCATGTATTTTCTATATTGCTTTCATACATGTTTCATAAAATTTATTCTTAAAAGTGTACTGAAATCCATTTACAATATATTTTACACTCATAGTTCAATGAAGTTATTAAGCATGTCAATACACTTAGCACATCTGAGTTTTGACTTACATAAGCAGAAATTCCCAATAAGCCATTAGAACATTGGGTCTTCTCTTGCACAAACACAGCTGTTGTTGAGAAAATAGTATGATTAACCAAGAATTTTCAGGAAGTACACAGTGTCAACAGAGATTAATTTGGGGTTGGCTTCCTATGAAATGAGCCCAGCACATGGATATATATTTCCTTCTTCATCTACTTTATTTGCCATATACAAAATAGCAAAGGAAGGGGCAGGGGCTTCTCTTTCCTGTTCTCCCAGGTTCCTGACCCCAAATACCCATGTTGAAGATGGAAAGTTTGCTTCAGTTCCTGAGTTTAAGATGAAGCCAGAATGACTAAAGGGAATGATATCAAAAGAGAAGCCCACACTGCAGTTTTACATGCAGAAGCCACTTATGTGTGGAAAGCATGATGTGGATGAAGTTCCTGAGGGAGACAGTGTGGAGGACCAAGGCAGAACCTCAAGGTAAGTCCATTGGTTGGTAGGAGGAAAGACATTCATAAAGGGAGACTACGAAGGTCTAGGAATGATCTAAGAATCACATAAAAGAAGTCAAAGGATCCAGCATTTCACAAAAGAGAACAAGGCTACCAGAGTCACACAGTGGAGGCTGACGACAATGCTCGCTGGAATTGGACTGAGACTTAAGCAACCAAGTAGGAGGAGGAAAATGAGAGTTCAACTACCAACTACTAGAGTGAATCTGACACTGAAATAAAGAAAAGAGAAGCTGAAAGGGAGTCCAATAGAGGGACAACAGTTTCTGGCTAGAATGAAGCTCTTTTGGGATGGTACAGATTGAGCAACCTTGATCAGAAAATTCCCAATCTAAAATGTTCCAGCATCTGAAATTTTTGAGTGCTGACATGATGGTAACTCTATGCAAATAGTTTGAAATTATAAAAAGTCTTAAAATCAGAAGCACTTCTGGTCCCAAGCATTTTGGATAAGAGGTGGTTCACCTGCATTTGGTGTCAAGAGGGACACACCTGGTGGGGAACAAGAGTCTAGAGGGAGTCACTGCCGAGAGGATGGTGGGAAGGGGTCAGCAGGAGCAAAGACAGACATACAGGGAAGGAGGGAAGAAGGTGATGGAGCCCTGTGAAGAGAGAGTCCCTTGATAGGAGGAAGGCTTAAGGCAGGTGCTCCTTCTGTTTTCTCAGTGAAACTGGAGGCAGAGCTGTTATGGAAAGCTGCAGGGACAAAGGAGCCGTTACAGCCAGGGCACTGATGACTGCAGTTTGCCAAATACCAGAGGAGCTTGTGTGCTGAATGGACCCATGACAGAGTCTTGAGAGTTTCCCTAGGTGTTCTCTGTATCCTGGAAGCAGGAGTGAAGGAAACAGACCATGAGGATATTGGCTGGAGACTCTTCAGACATAAGATCCAGGAAAGGAGGAACCCAGGACTCTACCAAGTTTGGGTTCTCAGAAACTACTGAATCAACAATGCTGTCTGAAACTGAGAGAGGTTAAGAAGATTGTTTCCATGTAGAGTATGCTCGGGGCTGTCTACCATTACAGAAAATATCTCTGGTGCTGCATCTGTGGTCCTCTTCCTGGCAGCTTAACTCATGCTCTGTCCTGGGAAAGTTCTCCCAACCTGCCTTCTGCCTTCATTATTGTCTCTCCTCTGTGCTTAGCTGACAATCCTCTACAACATGCTCCTGTTCATTGAGCATGCTTCTTCATCCTTTGCATCCTTTGTCTTGTCTTAAACTGCAAACTCTGGGGCAGTAGGGACTTTGTTCTGCTCTGAATCTCTGACCTGGCACATTAGAACTCAGAGTATACTGGGTTACTGGATGAAGACACGCCTACTGATCATTTGACAAGTGAGAGGTTTCTTCATCTGAAAGCAGAAGATAAAGGTCAGAGGATCTTAAATCCAAGCTGGGTGCTATGGTACAGGTCTGTTATCCCAGTTACTTGGGAGGCTGAGGCAAGAGGATTACAAATTCAAGGCCAGCCCGGGTAAATTAGCAAGGCCCTGTCTACAAATAAAATAAAATAAAAAGGAATGAATTGGGTATGGTGTTGCATTTCTGTCATTCCAGCACTCTGGGGGGCTGGGGCAGGAGGATCACAAGTCAAGCCTAACCTGTGCCACTTAAAATCTTAGGGAGACCCTCAAGAAAAAAGCTGGATATATAGCTCAGTAGTGAGGCCCTGGGTTTAATCGCTATACTGCAAAGAAAAAAAAAGTAGTGTAGTAAAAGAAATTACCTAGTCTAATCCCTTCATTTTATGACTAAAAAGCCCAAAGCTCAGAAAAGTTGACTTGAAGTTCTGGATATCAGTTATTTAATGTTTTCTCTTTACCACAGCCTACCAGTGATGGCTACCTCATTTTTTGGGCTCCATTTGAGTTCTAATCAGGTGTTGCTTTATTCAGAATTTAGTGTAGATCAACTGGGATCTTTTGGCTGGACCACTCAGAACTCAAGGTGGGAATGCCAGGTCCACAAGCTAGGAATGGTACCTACCGAGGGAAAAATGACTCTGAGCACCAAGCAGGTGATGAGCAAAATGCACATGATAGAGTGACCCATTAAGGTGATACCAATTTGGGATACCAGAGACCCTTGATAGTAATGCACTGAGGGGTTTTAAACAGTCACATGTGGGTGACAGGTTCATAAGAGCATAGGAACAGCTGCTGTGAACCTGCTGCTCTCTACAAGGATTTGTATTACTTTAACATTAGTCTTCCAATGTCACTACTCCATTTACCTATCATTTAAAATACACCTGATGGTGTCACCTAATGATGGGGATACATCTTGAAAAATGTGCCCTAAGGTGACTTTATCATTATGTGACAAGCACAGAGTATACTCACATAAACCTAGATGGTATAGTTTATTAGACTTGCATTATGTGGTACATTCGGCTGCCCCTCGGTTACAGGCTAATGAATCCTCTAAGCAATTGTAACACAATGGTGAGTGTATGTGCAGATAAATACATATAAACATCAAAAAGTACAGTAAAAAATATCAGACAATAGAAAAATTTCAACTCTATCATAACCTAATGGGACCACCATCATATACACAGCCCACCGTTATATAGCTCCTATGATTCAGAAATTCCTACAAACAAACAGTGCAGTTAGAATCACCGTTTTATTTTCAATAGCCCTGATTCTGTTTCCCCTCAAAAAATAAACATGTCATGTAATTTGTTTTTAGACATCATTTTCTTACAAATATTTAAGAAAAATGTCTCTTGAAATGTGAACTATCTTGTACCCTACTTATTATTTAAAACTGACTAAATATTTAAAGTTACAGCTCTAAGTATTTGGTTAGCTGTGTTATTTTATTTGCTGTTTATTTTAGCTGGATCATGTTCATATGGTCCCAGGAGTCCTTCAAGTTTTAATAAGAACATTGTTTGTGTACACTCTGAGTGGGCTGAAGAAAGTAAAAGAATTTTTAAATATCTTGACCAGCTTGGGCTGCTATAACAAGAATCCCATAGACTGGGTGGCTTCGCAACAGGCATTTATTCTGCACAGTTCCAAAGGCTGGGAAGCCCAAGAGCAAGGAGCCAACAGATGTGGTGTCTGGTGGAGGCTCTGCTCCTGACTTGCAGATGGCCATGTTTTCACTGTATTCTTACAAGGTGGAAGGAGATAGATCATCTCTCATGTCTCTCCTGGTAGGGGCACTCATCCCACTTACCAGGGCTCTGCCCTCAGGACCTGATCACTTCTGAAAGGTGCACCTCCAAGTACCATCTTACTGGAGATCTAGGCTTTAACCTAAGAATTTTAGAAAGACACAAAGAATCCTAATCCACTTATAAGGATAGTATTTATTGTAAGGATAGTATTCAAGTAAGTATTTAGTGTTACTCCTTATAGGAATAGGGAGGTGCCCTCATTCCCTGTCACCTGCACACCCAGGACAGCTGCCTGGCTCCAATGGAGTGTTTTGATGGCCCATTCTCCCAAATACCGCCCCCCTCTGGCCTGAAGTGGCAAATCATCAAAAAGTCAGGCAGGAAGGCAAAGCAAAGCACGGTGTGTGGGCCAGTTGAGAATTTTCAAAGCGTTTTATTTTGAGAATATGAAACTTCATGTTAGAAGATCCTTCAAAATGACGCGTTCAGATGCTTTTCTTTGTGAGACAAGGGAGGAGATTGGAACCCAGAGAGGGGAACTTGCTCAAGATCCCAGCTAGCCTACTCTTATAACTCATTAGCATTAGCTATTAACAGTGAGATTCATCTCTAATTCCAGCATTTTTCTCAGTCCCATTCTAGTGCTCATTTAGTAACCTCTCACTTGTTTTTTGTATTAGTAGTGCTTGAGAAAAATAAATGATTGACCAGATGGTGAAATATTGCCAAAGCTAGTCAGTGAATCCTGGAAGTTTAGCCTAGCCCTGCTCTAAGCCTTTCATGTAACATGGGGAAAGCCACTCAAATGCACTCTGCCTCAGTTTCCTCTTCATTTTCTTTAAAGAACTTGCTATACACAACACATGTGGCCAACAGGAAATACACCATTTTTCAATCAAATGAAAAGGCTGTAAATGTAACACTCGTGTAGCATGTGAAACTCACAGATACAAATTTTCAGCTAAAACAGAAAATGTATTAGTAAAAACCTTTTGCAAATAGAGATCTACAACAAAAGAAGAAGAGAAAGAAAGATGAGATTTATCTAAAGGTTAAAATATAACTCTATTTTTTTTGTACCAGGGATCGAACCCAGGACGTTGTGCCTACAAGGCAGCCATGGTGCCATTGAGCTAAATCCCTGGCCCTAAAATATAACTTTTAAAAATAGAAGCTCCTCTTCACTACTTTTAAATTCTTTTTCTGAGTAGAAGAGCTAGTGGTGGGCATCTCATTGGAATATGTTTCTCAAAGCGGCAACAAGAGCAGTAGAGATGGATCTCGCCACAGCATGAGGCCTGCACTGAAACAACAGACAGCTGTGCCAGATGTGACCAGTGGCCTGGGCTTCTGGTCCCTGGGACAACTGCCCAGCTGGATTTCCATAAAGGGAAGGTCCCAGGAATCTGGCAGAGCCAGATTAGCCAGGCTAGCCCTGGCTCATGTCCTTCTTTGAAATATAGAAGCTGAAATACAGAATATAGAATACTGGTCATCTTTGCACTTTGGCATGAAGACAGGCAGCAGATTTGGGAAGACAGCAGCCAGATAAACAGCATAGCTCACCTGCCGTGGTCTAGTGGGTCACTAGGCAGAGAGAGATGGCAACTCCAAGAGGGGGCTGTACAGTCACCTAGCACTGATTGGCTCCTGAAGCCCCCCCGATCTGACAGGAACATGCTCAAATGCTTCCCACGGGAAGGTAAACATGATGAACAATGTTCTCAGTGCAGGGTTCTGTCCAAGGGCTGACCACACTGCCTTCCCAGTTCTTGCAGGCTTCCCTGGTGTCATGCCCCATGGAAGAAACCTCCTGTGAGAACAACACCAAGCCCTTCACCCTGGCCCCATGTCTTTTCCCGGCCACATTCTTTCTCGCTCTGTGGTTTGGCTGCACAGCCCCTTCCACCTATCACTTCTGTCCGGCCTCCTCATGCACAGGCCTTGAGTCATGAAGGCAGAGCAGAGTGAGTGCTACCAAGGAGAGCGAAAGGACCATCAGCAGCCCCTGTTCCCTCTAATAACAGGACCAGGCTTGACTAAGGGCATCCAGACAGAGCCAGTTACACTCGGTGACTTTTTTACCTCAAGCTCCCAATTTTAATCTTTTCCTTAGGGATTCAAGTTTGTCCAAGTTCTGGAACCAAAGCCCCCGGCTCAGGCTGATCTCCAGTCTTGTGCCCATCTGCCATGTGGAAAGGCTTTTTAGATCTCCTGCGCATATGCATTCCTGCAGAGAATGTGCAGGCCTACTCTCGCTGTAGGCTGGGCTCACTCTTGCTGGCTCTTCCTCCAATCCCAGCACTCTACACATAACTCATCACCTCCTGGAAGGCTAAAGGCAGAAAAGTCCAGGAATCATGACAAATGCTGAAGAGATCCAAGTAAAAGATTGGTCATTTGACTGGCCAACTTTCCAGCACCAAGAGAGGCCAGTTGAAAACATCCACCATAAATTGGAGAAAGTCTAACAGTAAAGTCAAGTGGTCTACAAAGCCCATTAAAAAGAGATCAGTATCTGGGACATAGGTTTTCTATTTTTAATCATTTTTAAAATGAAAACTAGTTTTTAAGGACATAATTCCACAGCAGAAAAAAATGTTCTCTTAAGAAAAGCCTTAACTATTTACGATGATCCAATTTATATGCTATTTGAATGCTTGGTGCCCTGGGACTTAATGGAAGGTGTGTTTGAGGAAGAAGTCAGGGATGGCACATCTGGAGAAAACAGCAGAACTAAAAGGAGAGATTCCTAGGTATGAATATAACTCAAAAAAGCAGAATTTGGCCATTTCAACAGGGCAAATAAATATCATGGCAGCCTTGTTACATGGAAAGAGTTACCTTATGGTAGGCTACAAGAGGGACAAGCCACATGGTATAACGTAGGAGCTTTAGTGCTTTTAACTACGACCTTTCTCCACTTGATGCTCCCAGTTTTGTCTACTGCAGATGAGGGGCTGCAGAGGAAGGAAGAGGAAGGAGGAAAGGGAGGGAAACAGTATCTTCACTCAAGCCTTCTGCCTTACCCCTTGCTTCAGCAGACATCAGCCCTAGGCTGCAGAGTGGCTTGTTGCAAGAGCAGAGGCATGCAAGGGTAACAAGGACAGCTGTGCCTCAGTGTCCCCCACTGTTACTTCCCTTTCATGCGCTGTCATTAATTAATGCTGCTGGGTTCAGATCCAGTGGATCCTCCCTGGCCCAAGGTTGTATCTGTGTCAAATGGATGAGATGCTAGGTAATCTTTATACACCCCATCAATCAGTTTGGCGGCATTGTTCCTGGCAAACCAGCAGTCTATCTGTTCGTCCCCATTGTAAATCTTCCTTTGTTTCCAGACCACTGGGACTCGGTGCTCTTTCACCTGTAGGATGGTCTCAGACATCCCTTCAGTCTGAGGGAGGGGTGAATTAGTAAGATTTTTGCTGTGCCCTGCGGGCTTCTCTGTGAGTTTGGCCTCCTGGTTCAGGAACTGACCTGGGAAAACAAAAAGACACAAAATGTAAATCATTTGAAGAGAAAAATAAAGAGAGATGATGAGAAAAGGAAGTATACCCTGTGGAGATGAAAAGGGGATGTGGGAAAGGGGAGTAAAAATGATCAAGAAGCATGTTTATGTATGAATTTCCTGAGATGAATGTATGTATTAAGTATTGCAAACATATACTAATAAATGTTTTTCTTAAATGCATTGAGGTGTAGTCTATCAGCAGCATCAGTATCAAAAGGGTTTTTTGTTTGTTTGTGGTACTGGGAATTGAACCCAGGGCTTTCACACTGAGACACATCCCCAGCCCTTTTTTAATTTATTATTTTGAGACAGGTCCTCATGGGATTACAGGTGTGTCACCATGGTCAGCTGGGCAGGAGGGGTTTTCACTGACCACAATCCTAGGTCAGACTCTCCTGGGGGCTGTCACACATTGTCCAGCCTGGTGATGTAACCTGGAGAGGAGTGTGCTGAGCTCCCACACATAGTGGCTTGCCACTTCCAGAAGCCGGCCTGTTGCTAATGCTGGGAGGTCACCTAACCAACAAATGGAGATAGCCAGTCTCCTCTGGAGTCAGAAGGGCAAGTGGAGCACAGATAAATAGGGCATGGGTATAAGTCCCCTCCATGCCCTCCATGTGGTGGGCACACACCAGGGTGGAGTGTGGAAAGTCGTCAGGCCAGGTTGTCCCTGACACTCTCCTCAGAATGTTCCAGGTCAAGTCAGGGCAGTGCTAGGCCAGGGCAGCACAGATCTGCACCTGTGAGACAAAGCTTATGCTTGGCATCAGCTCGGCAGAATTTATCCAGCTCAAGCACTAGGAAATCTTCTTTTTAAACTGAGTCCTGGCAATGGCTCACTCTTTAGTCTTGGACAAGGGGCCTACGTAAAATCACACATTGACGAAGACCGGCTGGGGTGGCCTGGTGGCTCTCACAGCAATGTGATGACTCCTAGGAAAGACATCTGTCTCTCATGCTGGGCCTGGGCCTTGGCTGCCCTTTCTCTGTTCTTTGCAAAGGGACAAGGAACCAGACCTTAAGATGATTACTCTCCCTTTCTTTGCACTCCTTCCCAGAAGACTAGTGAGAACTCGTTAACAATGCTTATTTCTATGCCAGAAAGTCATCAGGAGGCAAGAAATCTAATTTTCATAAACATACAATCAGCTTTCTGTACCCATGGGATTCTGCATCTGTGGATTGAATCAACTGCAGACTGAAAATATTTGAAAGAAAATGCATCTTTACTGAACATAAACTTTTTTCCTTGTTATTATTCCCTAGATATAGAGTATAACAACTATTTACATAGTACTGACAGTGTATCAGGTGTGATAAGTAGCCTAGAGATGATTTAAAGTACATGGGAGAATGTGTGCAGGTTTTATACAAATTCTACACCATTTTAGGTAAGGGACTTGCACATCCTCGGACTTCGGTATCCTTGGGAGATCCTGGAACCATATTCCTGTGGATACCAAGGGACATCTGTACATATAAGTACCCAATGCCTACTAAATTTCTCAATCAACCTAACAATACTGGCAGTCTGGGCTACACTTGGGAAATCTAACTCCTCTAAACTCCGCATGAATACACCAGTGGCTTACCTAGCAGTCCGTGGCAGTTGCTGGAAAGGCCTTTGCTGTTGGAGATGTAGAAGCCCAAGTGGTTTCGCTGGAAGGGTGCTGGCTTTTTGTAGAGGTGAATGAGAACAACAAAGGCAATGGTGCCCTGGATGGTGACAGTGACATTTGCATTGGCAGACACAGCCACTTCCAGCCCCCGGCTCCCCACTACCATGCTCTGGTTGCAGGGGAGGACCAGCCTGTCGCCACCGTCTAAGATGACTCTGCTGGGTGTGATCTCGAGGTAAGATCTCTCTGGCCGATTGACGAGGATGGTGATGGTGCGGAAGTAAGTGCGCTGTTTCTTGTGACCATTGGGAGGAGCAGGGGCCCCGATTAACTCTCCATTCACCGTCACACCTCAAAGGCAAGGGCAAGAGAATGGTAGTTAAAAAAATTGGTCTCACCCTTCTGCCAAAGGGACCAGGTCAGAATTTCCTTCCTCCTTCCTTATTTTCATGTCTCTAGCACCAATTCCCACATTCAAGCCACTTGGTTCAAGCCACTTGGTGGTTGCCATGTGAATCTGAACACGAGACCACAAGGGAGTTTCCTCCATGTTTGACTGGCAACTTAGATTGTGGGAAGGTTTTGGGTTTGGGTCAAGGTATCACAGAAGGGCTTCCATATTTGTGTGCTTTCATTCCAGGGACTGATTGTAGTGGCAGAGCCTTGTGGGTCCTGACATATGTTTTGTATTTACCAGTTACCACTGATCCTAACCTAGAGATCCTTTGATGCCAGTGAGCAGGGGGAGAGAATGGTAAACTGGAAACTTTTAATTCCCAAAACTCAAATTTTTTCACCCTTAGATCAAGTCATTTAAACATTAATCTTCAATTCCTTCATTTTGGAAAATAAGGAGAATATAAAATTAAGAGAACATGAACGAGGATGCAAGGGGTGGGATATGTGTGAGCTGTTTACTGCCATCAAACATAAGCCTCTTTTTCTGCTGCAGCACCCCAAACATAAGCTCAGCTTTCCTGGACTCATCTTTTGCATGAGGTCAAACCCCCAGGGTTCCGTGCTGTGAAGCTGGCCAGCAGCAGGTGCAATTGCACAGGTGATGTCTGAGAACAAATTAGTTGATGCATGTTGGATATGCTTTGTTCTCAGGCAAAGAGGCAATTTTTAATAAATAAAGATTGCTATATAATTAGCTTTTGGTTTCTCTGCTTTGAGGATCATCTTCCTAATAAATCTTGACTGGCAACTTCTTAGTTATACAAGGAGAAAAGTGACTTCCCTGGGGAAAAGATTGAAGGAGAGGAGCAATCCCAGCCACAGCCAAACCCTGCTTTTCACCCTCAAACCTCTCTCTTGTCCAGGCTGAGGTTCTATCTTGGACAACTTAGAGAATTTACTTTTTTGTTTTGAGACAGGGTCTCACTATATAGTTCAGGCTGACCTTGAATTCATTATGTAGCTTAGGCTGGCCTTGAACTCATAGCAATCCTCCTCCCTCAGCCTCCCGAGTTTGCAGACATGTGCCACCATGCCCAGCTAATTTAGGGAATTTAGAAACCATAGGAACAGCTCTCAAGAGAGAAGGCACTTCCAGGGAGGGATACAGTTAGGTTCCCATCTCTTCCCTGCACCCTGTGGTATTATAAACATTAAAAACTTAGCTCTGAGGCTAGGAAGGCCTGAAAGAGAAAAATATAATCAAGGAGACCTAAGACCAAACTTCACATAAATATATTACATGTGTCACCTTGCTGGGAGATGCTCTGCAACCTGAACTTCTAAGCCCCTCATTTTCTCAGCACTGAAAAATACCACATGGTCCCCACAAAGCTGGCCCGTGTGGCTGTCCACATGGTTGTGCCCAAGTATGGTTACCTGCCTTGAACAATAGCCTTTTCTGTGCCAATGGCTTTTCCCCGGTCCCTCTCTAGGCCGATGGGGACCAGCTCTGTTTTTACCTATATGCTGCTGACACACAGAGCTGTGTGGTTAACATCTGGGCTTTACCTCTGAGTTATCAAGGAACCAGGGCATATGAGTTTGGGTCTCTTATCTCCCCACCATTACAGCTTTTGAATAGAAAGACATAGTGACACTAATATGTCATGAACGTCTGTAACACTTGAACATTTCTGAAGCTACTTCATAACCGTTACTTCACTTGATTCACTTCATAATATACTGTGAGGCCAGCAGAGTATCACTGTCTCTGTTTTTACAAGGGAGGCCACTGCAGCTCGTGAGGACTGTGTCCAAGGCCACACTGAAGCTGCACAGTGTGGGCCTAAGTGCACATCGGGCTGACTCCAAGTCAGGAACCGCCCACTCGCTGTAGCAATCATCACAGTACCCACTGACCATCCACCATGTGTCCTTATACAGCTGGTCATTCATCCTAAAACACAAGTAGGTAGAACACCTCCCTGGTCCTGGCCCCGATGACACATTAAGGCCAGAACTTACCGGAGCCCATGTGATCAGAGACCAGCTGTAGGATGTCCCCGGGCTGTCCATCGATGTTAAAGCAGACAGTGAGTTTGCTCAAAGGGAAATCCACAACAAAATGGGGATCACCATCCACTGCCAGGGAAGGCACAAAGGAGAAAGAAAGACAGACACTTACTGGCTGCCTTCAATGTGTAATTATGTATTTAATCCCAAGGACGGCACTGGAAGGAAAGTGCCTTCAATTGCTAAATAAGGAATGCACAGGAGGGAAGTGACTCCCCAAAGTCATCCAGTTAGTGCCTGGTGAAGATTGACCCTAGGTCTTCTAAACGTAGATCTAATGCTCCTTTCACCATACCTCTGTTAAGTGTAGACAACTAGGCTTTGAAGGCAAGGGGTATTAAAATGAATGACAGATATTGTCCTACACCATCAACGGTTACTGAGTCCATAGCCTTCCATTTTCTAGGTGGGTTTTCCCATTCATTTGCTCTATCCTTTTACTGCCCATCTAAAGAGTGAGGAGAACCTTCCTTGTCTATGAGAAAACAAGCCACAGACTGCCATAAACTTTCACAGTGCCAGCTGTATGCCATCTTTGCCTGTAGGCACTAAGAGCCTGGCCCCATTTAGGGACAATGACAAATGAGCACAGAGTCCCTAGAAAGGTGGGCAGAACAGCTAGTGATGACAGTGGAATCACTCCTTTGGGTCATACTGACTTCATTGCTCTCAACTATTTGTCCACAGTTGAGACCATGAAGCTCAGCTGGCCTCTGGTTGTTATCTGTTCTCCCAATTTTCACCTCTGCTACATATGAACACCCTTCCTTCTTACTGCACAGACCAAACATTTCCCAAGTGTTTACATCAGTTCTCTTCTCTCAGTAGATTGGAGATTGAGTTTCTCTCTGACTTAGACACGAAACATAGCATGTTTGGGAAACCTCTCTACTTTTGTTCAGGTGCACATGAACAAGTGTGTCCCTGTGTATGCTATACATATGGGTCCAGAGGAGTCATCTTTTCCAGCTGATAGTGAATTCACATCCTTTCTGTAGCTGCTGAAAACCCAGCATTACTCAGAAGAACCCTTGACACCCCGAGGAGAAAAGTCTTTACTGCTTTCTGTCAATGTGCTGTCCATGCAAGTCCATAAAACAGGCATGTCCTGGAGATTAGCCATAGGGATAGAAATCCGCAGGCTCCCATGGATGGAATGCAGTTCCCTTGAACATATGTGCTCTATGGAATGCGAGACATCCTTCCTCTTGGACATTGTCTGCAATAATCACTTTTGGACTTCTCCATTATTATTTTGAAACAAGCAACATCTTTTCTTGTAGAGGGCTTTAGATGCTTTGAGTAGAAATAATGAGTTTGGAGCACATAAAATCTCTCAGAGAACTGTCACATAAGCTACACCTAAAGAGTCCCAATGTGGGTGAGAACAATGTGGGTGAGAATGTCTCCTCTGGGGGCCATTATTTTTTCCATCATCAGAAGACAAACACCTGTATTTCTTTATATGCTGCCATTCACAGGGGCCTCAAGGAATTTCATGGTGAAAGCAACCAAATTCTCTCAAGGCCTGTCCACTGGAAGAATAAAACCCAGCTGCCCCATCCTGACTTTTATTGTCATCCCAGGAAGCTGCCAAAAGAAAATATTATGGCATTTTAAATCTGTCCTTTTCCTTCTAAGGCCAACAACTTAAAAACACAAAACAAAAAATCCTGCCTATCACTCCAGACATTTAAATTTTTATAACACTGTTTTTGTGTCTGTGACACCTGAGGTTGAAAGCATGTACATTTTAAATCTCTAAAGCCAATGCCCCTTAAACTCAGCCATGATCAGAATGTGCTTCTGCAGTCTGTCTCTTCTTCCCTCGAGGCTCTTGACAGGCTTCCTGGAGACTGTGGTCTCTCCACAGTGTTTAAGCAGTGGCTTGAAGATGGCCCTGGTTCTGGGCATTTGCCTCACACTGCAGGCTCGAGCTATAGAAATACAGGTCGTGATGCCTTCTTCTATGAGCCGCTATTTTAACTGGCTTCAGGGAATTCCCCGGGGTTCACGTTCTAAAAAGTCCTTACTCTCAATTCACATTCAACCACACCCTTTTCTTTACCTGATGTTTTAGAGAGTTTGATTTTGGGGTCATATGGTTTCTTCAGCGTAGGTCCTAAAAAGGAAAGGAAAAGAACACTGTTATTCATTAAAGATGATGCACTAAAGCAGATTGAGATGAGTAATGCCCAGCTTTCAGATACATTTGTAATAACCAAAAGAATCCAAAACATCATTTAGTTTAAAGGCAGAGCCTGGCCTCAAAAGACATAACTGTGATATCAACTGTGGAGGCTTAATTATTTTAAACCAATTAGAACCAATTAGATTCTATTTTTATTTTCTGTGATTTCTGTGAATATATGTAATGCTACTGAACTGCACACTTAAAAATGGTTAGGGGGGTAAATTTCATGTTATTTGGTTTCTAGCGCAATAAAAGTTAAAACCAAAAGGCATGGCTAGAGTCCAGTGTCCACAAATATATGTGTAAGCTTAATTCATAAAGCATTTTGAAACACCAAGTATTCAAAGTAACTCAATTGAATAAATATTTCATTAACGTATAACCTAAAAGAAAATTAATTTCTGTAAATAAGATCACTATTTTATTTCAAATAGTGTATAAGGTGAATTACGCTCCTCTTCACTGGTCTTTATCCTCAGAGAAATTAAAGATAAAAGGGTCTAAGCATTCTCCATCCTAGTCTCTGGCACAGAATATGGGCAGAGTGCGGATGAACCAGGAAGGAGGAGGCAGTAGTTGGACTGGGGCATGGCTTGGAGAAGTGGTAGTTATGCCGGGCGCAGTGACACACGTCTGTAGTCCCAGCACTCTGGGAGACTGAGGCAGGAAGATTCCAAGTTCAAGCCCAGCCAGGGCAAATTAATGATACCCTGTCTCAAAATATAAAAATAAAAAGGCTGGTGATTGTAGTTCAGTGTGAAAGCCCTGCATTGAATTTTCAATACTAAAAAAAAAAAAAAGTAGCAATTGCTATAGACACTCAAAAAAAAAAAAAAAAAAAAAAAAAAAAAAAAAAAAAAAAAAAAAAAAAGAAAGAAAAGAAAACACCAGAGCTTTGGAAAAAGGAGAGCTGTCTTATGTCACTGACACTTCAGGAAAATCTTTCTGAAATCTATTTGAAAAAGCTCCTTATTCTCTAATGTTGGTTGTTTCCTTGTCTGTGTGCCTGGTCCTTGGAGTCCATTACTATTTGTGTCTGCTCTCTCCTGAATCTACCGAGATTTGAGCTGCTGACATATAATAGAAGACCTTATTCAAAAAGGCATTTTTCCTAGATGTGGCATGGATCTTTCAGATGAGTTAATGCTCTCCTCTAGCCTGCTTTTAATCAGAACAAAAATTACACTAACTTTTAGAAAGGCTCCACTCTTTCTAAAACAGCAAGATTCTTTGTCGCCTCTGAGAAGGGTAAGGATTTCTCAATAAATGTCCAGAACTACACATCTCATGGGAAAGGATGGCTCATATTTGTAGAACACTCATTATGTGCCAAAGACTTCCATATTAATGCTTGCCGTAGGCCTTCAGAAGCATTATTATTGCTCCCATTTTAGAGGCACAGAAATGGAGATACAAAAATCTGCCCTGGGCCTCACAGATGCCCAGGAGGCTCACTGGATCCATACTTCATATTCTCTCTCCCACACTCTGGTGCTCATCAGAGTTTGGAGTGTGAAGAATAAAGAAGACAGGGTCTGTGGACTGTCTCACAAGGCCTGGCTAACTTCGGCTCCCTTTTTTAGCTGAAGGAACTTGACAGGAACCTAATAAAAACACACCACTTTCCACAAATGGATATTATCCAGAATACACCCCTCTGTCTTGATCTCACAGCCTTTTCTCCCTCTTGCTCCTGTCAAATTGCCATCAAGAGTGAGCATGACTGACACACTCAGCCATTTCATCTTCGACAAAGGAGCCAGACACCCTCACTGGAGGAAAGATAGCCTCTTTAATAAATGGTGCTGGAAAGAATGGGCTTCAACTTGCCAGAGATTAAAACTAGACCTATATCTTTCACCATGCACTAAACTAAAATCTAAATGGATTAAAGATCTAAATATTAAAATAGAAACGTTGAACCAGTTGGAACAGAGGTTAGGTAGAAC